TGGGGAGGCATGAGTGTCGTTGACCTTGTCACTGCACATGCGGTCGTGCGAGACGCGTGTTGCGAAGCCACGCCGGGCGACGCCGCCGGCCCCACGCGCCACGTCACTGACTGTGCGCGCACACCCACGCACGCTTGGGGGCGGCCGGGACGGCGGACGGCGGACGGCGGACGGCGGACCCGGCGGACGGCGGACACGGCTCGCGAGCTGCGCACCTCCACACCTTCCTGCAGCTGTGCACAGTGCACGCTCGGAGCGTCACGCTGCAGAGCTGCGAGCTGGGTCGTGTGGCACGTGCGGCTGCGGGTGCTGCTGAGCTGCTGGCGGTGGCGCACGCAGGGCGCCGCCCCACGCGCCACGGCCTTTCCCCTTCCTTTGTTTCCCCCCCGCTGTACGTGCCGCGACGCCGCGGTGAGAAGAGTACTTTAATGAAGGTAGATCGGTTTACATTACACACCAAGCTGAGCCGCGGACATACCCCCGGCCAGCAGCTGCAGCAGCGCATCGTTTCGCAGCACGGCTCGCGGACATCGCGATCCGCAGCGGCCCGAGAGAGCTGGCGAGCGGGGCGAAGCTGCCGGCGCAGCGCAAACGCAGCGCCGCCGACGCCCCGCGCCACGGACACGCCCTAGCCGGCGCTGCGGACGTAAATCGCTGCCCTCTCCAAAACGCCGCCGCAGCTGCGGCAAGGGGAACAAGAAGATGCGGAAGTCTTACTTCCGGTCCTTGCCGCCCTTCCACGCCTGCTGCCCCGAGTGCACCACGATCCCCTGCAAGTTGCCCATGTCCAGGCTCCGCAGCATCGCCTTGGTCTCGGCGTCCACCTCAATCACGTCGGTGTCGACCGCAGACACCTCGGGCACAAAGTCCATGCGCCGCTCCCGCTCCTCCTCCTGCAGCTTCAGCGAGATGCCGCGCACCGGTCCTCGCTGGATACGCTTCATCAGGTGCTGCGAGGGGTAAGAGGGGGGGGACATGAGCGCGACGACTCGCTCAGAGTCGGGCAAAATGGCGCCAGAGCGCAGAGAGGGGGAGGGCTCCGGTGGTCTCGCAGCGTGTGCGGAGCGCACCGTCGCATAGCCGGCAATCTTATTCTTCAGCCCCTTGGAGGGGATGATGGCAACCTCCTCGCACACGCGCTTGTTGGTCTGGAAGTCGAGCGTCAGGCGCGCGTAGTACCTGCGCAGGGCGGCAGCAGCGGCAGGGCGCTCGGCGAGGGCTCTCCGAGCAGCCCGAAAGCGCGCTGCGGGGTGAGCGCACTTCTCGATGATGACCCGCGCGGCCTTCTTGACAGTCTTGGTACGCACGCCCCTGCACCGGCGCGGGAGCGGCGCTCAGAGCAAGGCTGCGGCCGAGAGGCGCGGCGGCCGCCGACGCCGCCCGCGCGGCCCGAGAAAAGGGGGGCACGAGGGTGCGACAGCGAAGGGACGCGTGCGGCGACAGCTCCCCGCCCAGCAGGAGCGTGGCGGTGCGTCTCGCGAGCGCGCGCGCGGGCGCAGCGCACATCTCACGCCAGCAGCCGCCTCAGCCTCGAGTCCACGTTGGTTCACAGCTTTGCAGTGTGAACGCTGTGAACAGAGTCCCGGCGTGAGATTGTTCTTCACCTTCCTACCTACCTACCTGAGATTGCAAGCGACGGAGACGTTCTGTCTGCTTCATTCTATCTAGCCAGACCAAGAAGTGCGTGCTCAAGGTGAGGGTTGAGAGAGATTTTTAGATTTTTAGCAATACCAAACAACTCTACTAGGGTGCCCACAGGGCCCCCAAAAACAAATGAACAAAGAAATGGGCCACCCCCGATCGCAGCACTTCGTGTTGGCCAGTCGAGAAATTGAGAGTGTGACTAGGAGGGTGGGATTGGCCTGTACATACTTTTCCGGAAAACAAAAAGGAAAACAGAGGGTCCCCAGCACTTTGCGTTTCCGGAAATTTCCAGGGAAAACAGAGGGTGTTTGGTGCTCCATTCTGGAAACTCGCTGTTTTCCCTGAGTGAGTCTGAGAGCTGGTCTGGGGCAAAATCTAAGGCAAAATTGAGGAAATCGACAAAATACCCAGGCCGCAGCGCGCAGGCGGTCGCAGGGTAAATTCCAGGTATGCACGGGTTCTCCGCAAAACTCCCGGCATTTTGCCGGTTTGGCCTAAAATTTGGCTGATTTTGGGCCCAAACCAGCCTCGACTCGGCTCAGAGCCCAAAATTTGACGATTTCCACGGAGTTTTCCCGGGAAAAGAGAGAGGAAAAGAGAGGGTGTTGTAGAGAAAAAAGGAAAGGAAAACAGACGGGGTGCGAGAGGAAAAGTATGTACAGCCTAAGGGTGGGACGCTGGGGATTCTCAAAGGTATACTCTTGGAATGGCCGGATCCAGCCTTAAAAGTACGAGATCGCGCGCGCTTCGCGCGCTGCACCGCCTATTCTCCGCGGCTGAGTGACGACGCGTGCCGTGTACCAGCAGAGTTGGGCGCGCGCGGCGCGACGGCGCCCGCGAGGGAAGGCGCGGGTGCAGCGGCCGCCGGCGGTCGTACCGCCCGCCAGCCGGCGCAGCAGCGGCTAGCGCAGCGGCCGCCGGCGCAGCAGCCAGATCATTCGCCCGGTGGGCGTTGGCCGTTGCGGACTCGAGCAACACCCGGGTCGAGGTTGCTGCGCCTCTCGGTGCAGTGCTGCAGCATCGCACGCCTGTTGCGCGGGATGGAGCATCGACGTTAGCCGGAATCCTGGCTGTTCCGGATGCGGGTCCGGCGGCATTTGCAGCGGCGTGGGCTACGATGACTCGGGCTGGACGACGTACGAGCGCCGTTCCGCCGAGCAGATCAAGAAGGTCTACCTGTACAAGGCAAAGTGGAAGCTCGTCCGCGATCTCGGGTCCGGCGATCTCGACAAGGACGGCGCAGGGAGCCGCAACTGGCCACTCGACCCGGACGGCTTCGACGAGCTGATCGAGAGCAAGCAGTTCACCAACGGCGCGGACAAGGAGACGGTCAAGACGCTGTACCGCAAGATGAGCGAAGCGCAGCTGAGCGGCATCGAGATGCTCGATTTCACGGGCATCTCGGCGCCATCAGTGAGCGACATGGAGCAGCTCGGCCGGTGTCTCAACTTGTGCGAGAATCTCTCGCAGTGCGACCTCACGGGGGTCGGACTCACGGATGAGCCGTGCAGAGCATTGTTCTCCACCCTCAAATTCAACGCGGTATTGACCGAGTTGGACCTCGGCGGGAACGAGATCGGCGACGAGGGTGCCACCGCGCTGGCCTCCGCTTTGGAGGTCAACGGGGTGCTGACCGACCTCAACCTCTGCAACAACAAGATCCGCGACGAGGGCGCCGCCGCGATCGCTGAGGCGCTGCGCGGCAACAGGGTGTTGAAAGCCCTCTACATCGGCGGCAACGAGTTGGGCGACGAGGGCGCGAAAGCGATTCGAGATGCGGTTAGCGGGCGGGAAGGGTTCACGCTCCAGGGATGTGAGGGGTGCTGAAAAGCATCGACCTCCGCTTCAACGATTTGGGCGACGAGAGGGGAAGGGAGTGATTCAAGATGCGGTGAGCGGGCGGGAAGGGTTCAAGCTCAAGATGTGAGTGGGCTCTGAGAGCGGAGTCGGCCAGGGGGACATGCGTGCATGGGATTAGAGTCTTGAGAAGCGCTTCGGCATCGGGGAGATTGATTTCTTTTTGCGGGATAAAATTCTTTTTGCGTTTTTCAGCAGGGTGCTGACCGCAAGCTCGTGCTCTGGGACAACACGAAGGGAGTGAAACGGGATGCGGCGAGCGGGCGGGTAGGGTTCGAGCTCAAGATAGATCAGTATAGATCACCGCCCTGCGCTCGATCGGTTGGCATGCTGGTCTCTGAGAAAGGTTACAAGAAAAAATCGCTCTGTGACTGTGTGACTGAGGTGGTACCTTTTGTTGAAAGGGGGTCCGTGAGATCCTCCGGAGAGCGGCGGACGTGCTACAGAACAAGCTGACGCGAGCCCAGTACCTCGATGAGGTGACTTGGACCACCAAGAGCTGGCTGGGGCTGCAGAAGCAGCGCATCTCAGTCGTTCTTCACACGGCCATCGCAGAGCAGGTCGTGAATGAGCTTGCCTGTGGCGGGGGAGGGCGGGTGCACGGAGCTAAGTGCCTCGCCACCCTCGCAGGAGTCGCTTAGGCGGCTCCCGTGGTGTACCTGTGTTCGTGCCAGTGCGCGCCAGTCCCGTGCCCAGTGTTGTGCGAGGGAGTTTTGTTGTAAGAACCTTTTGTTAACGACCAGCAGAGCTGCCGCTCAACACTACTAAAATCCGGACGCCCGCGCGCAGCCATCCACCAATCTAAGGGTCGCACACGCGTGCGGTTGCGCGCGCGGCGGCCGCGTCACCTCTCGCTCTCTGACCACCTCTCTCTCTCTCTCTCTCTCTCTCTCTCTCTCTCTCTCTCTCTCTCTCTCTCTCTCTCTCTCCTATACCTACCCAACCCAACGAATCCCTCACGGCAGCGACGAGGCGTCTACGCTGCGTCACTCCGACTTGGCCGCCGCGGCCTTGGACACCTGAGGAGAAAGAAAAAGCAGCAGAGTCAGGAAGGGCCGCTGCCGGTCTGAGCGAACGCCTCGGGGCGCCGCGCGCACCCGTTGGGCACTGCCCCCAAGGCTCTGGGGCGTGGGGGGGACGGACGGCTGTCGGCGCTCCGTCGCGCGCAGCGCCATCCCGACGATCTTGTACATCCACCAGGCGTTGAGGCAGCCGGCGGCCTGACAGGCGGAGCGAGCGAGCCCTTGGTCTAGGCGCGGAGGGCCGGCGCTAGCAGGTGTGCTAGCAGGTGTGTCGAGGAGGCGGCGAGGCGGCGAGGGGGAGAAGGGGGGGGGGGGGGGGCCCGAGGAGGTGTTTGGACTTGGGAGTGCCCCAAGCGCCGAAGGGCGGTTGTTTCAAGGGCGGGGGGTGTCCGACCAGGCGTGTCAAGGCCTCATATGGGGTGCCAAGGGCGGGGGGGGGGGGGGGGCCAAAACAAACCCCGCCCGGGGAAAATGGTGCCGTATCGGGGCTCAGGAGGCGACAGGGTGACCTCGGGTGACCTCGGGTGATCTCGGGTGATCTCGGGTGATCTCGGGGCGTGCGGAATGCGCGCGGCTCTCTGGGCGCGCGGCCGCCGTGATCGCGACACAGAGGACGTCGACAGCGAGGCGAGGCGCGTGGCACGGGGGCGCGAGCCTATCACCCGGTAAGGTGAGGTGAGGCTCCACTTCTCCGCGAGGTGGCGGGGGAGGCGCCAGGCTAGCCCTCGCGACTCTACGTCTGAGAGACAGGAGCCGCAGTGCGGCACACTGAAAGTGCAAGGCGCAGTGCGCGTGGGTGCGCGCCGCGGCGCGCGCGCGTGTGTGCTATGGGGAGAGATGGGGAGTTTGCACCCCGGGAGATATGGGGAGATCTGCACCCCGGGAGATATGGGGAGATCTGCACCCCGGGAGATATGGGGAGATCTGCATCCCGCATCTATGGACACGAGCAGAAGTGGCCGTAGCCGCAGCAGCACCTGCGCGTCGACGGCGGCTAGGGCTTAAGGAAGTGTCTCGGAAGTGTCTCTAGGAAGTGTCTAGGAAGTGTCTAGGAAGTGTCTAGGAAGTGTCTAGGAAGTGTCCAGGGCGGCTAGGGCTTCGCCACACCACCAAAGGTCCCTGCCATGCACTACGGCTGCCAAGACGCTGCCGCAGAGCGGGGACCCACGACCCCCCCCCCCCCCCCTCCCCCCCTCTCTCCCGGCGACTGCCCGTTCTCCGCTCTTCTGTACCTGCGCGACGCCGCCCCAGAAGAAGGCGACGCGCACCAGCAGGAACGTCAGCGCAAACGCGATGTTTGTGCAGAAGAGCGCCTGCAGAGAAAGTGCAGAGAAAGTGTAGAGAATGTGCAGAGAAAGTGCAGAGAAAGTGCAGAGAATGTGCAGAGAAAGTGCTGTGAGTGTTCGCAGAAGGGTTGTTCTAGCAGAAAGCTGCCTCCCGGCTACCTCTCGGCTGCCTCTCGGCTACCTCTCGGCTGCCTCTCAGCGGCATCTCGGCTGCCTCCCGGCTGCCTCTCGGCTGCCTCTCAGCTGCATCTCGGCTGCCTCCCGGCTGCCTCTCGGCTGCCTCTCGGCTGCCTCCCGGCTACCTCTCGGCTGCCTCTCGGCTACCTCTCGGCTGCCTCTCGGCTACCTCTCAGCGGCATCTCGGCGGCATCTCGGCTGCATCTCGGCTGCCTCTCAGCGGCATCTCGGCGGCATCTCGGCTGCATCTCGACTACATCTCGCCCGCGACTCTCCGAGCCCGTGCTGCAGCAGGAACCAACGCAAGTTGAGGGGGAGAGTGGACAGCTCGCCTGGTGGGGAGGGTTAATTAATTAATTAATTAATTAATTAATTAATTGAGAGTGGACAGCTCGCCTGGTGGGGAGGGTGGCGGTGGGGAGGGTGGCGGTGGGGAGGGTGGCGGTGGGGAGGGTGGCGGTGGGGAGGGTGGCGGTGGGGAGGGTGGCGGTGGGGAGGGTGGCGGTGGGGAGGGTGGCGGTGGGGAGGGTGGCGGTGGGGAGGGTGGCGGTGGGGAGGGAGGTGGCGGCGACGGATCAGGAGGAGAGGGTGGTGGAGGGTGTGGCGGTGGAAGGGGGTGGTGGCCGTTGCGGTGGGAAGGGAGGTGGTGGGGGAGCGTGGAGGTGGTTGTTGG